GCGCATACCTATGGCAGCCGCTGTTAAACCGCATTTGACAATCTGAATAAAACTCACAAGGAGAAAAGACAGGACGGATGTTTACACTGTGAGCGAATGTCTGGCAGCTAATCACAGTTTTACACACGATGCCAAAAAAAAAAGGACGTTCAATCACTCTAAGAGTGACCATTTATTTACTTAACCGGCGGGTAGGCACCTTTAAGTCCTCATTAAGGGCACGTCACAAAAAAAAGCTAAAGAAAAAGCCAAAGCAGAGGGCAGCGGTTCCATTCTAATACTGCTCGAGCGTCCGATCACAACTTTGACATTTGTTAAAATGCTGACTTTGCGGACGTTTTTTACGCCAGCATTTAGCGCAAAGTAATAACGACGTTAAGCAGATATACGACCTACTCCCGGGACGTTTTTTTTTTTTCCTCCAAATCAGCACTTTTGCGACGGACAGAAGCTGTTACGGCGCAGCTTGACTCGACCGCCGGGCTGGCACTCGCAAACCCCGCGGGACGTCCAAGTCTTATGAGCGTTGTACCTGAGGCAGGTTACGTAAGAGCCGGCAGTCAGCACCTTTTTGTGGTACCAAACTCCTGACTGGAGGAGACCACAAATTACAGCGTTACGTTTCGTACCAGACTAAACGCTGGAGACAAACTGCAATTTCATGTTTTACTGGAACGGCCTCACAAAAGTCCTGGGCGGGGCGGGCGGACCTCAGCCAAGGCTTCGATGTTTGGCACCTGTCAATTCAGACTCGTAATATCGTAAAAATCATTCGAATAGGATCCACAGCCTAATTGGATGGGATGGCATGGATCGGAATGGGCAATGCTGCTAAATGGGCAATCTGGATCAGATGTGGTTCAAGATTAGTTTGGCTCTTGACTGTGCACAGAAAAGGACGTTTTGCTAGCGTGCGGAAAGATTTTAATGCGACATAATTTTTTAAAAATATATCAAATATTTTTTGGATGAACATAGGTATCATTTTTATCTGTATATATTTTTAAATATTGTAAATTCCAAGAATTCGGGGGACCTTTTAATTCCCCTCTATACGAAATGGTAAAAGTATATATTTTAAAACCAAACAGTACCACGCTTCTGTAAAAAAATAAAATAAAATGAAAATAAAAATAAATACAAAGGTGACAAAAAAATACAAATAAAACATGAATAATTCAATGACCATAAACTAAATATCAAAATCAAGAAGCACCGCTAAAAACAAAGAATGTCACTATATTGACACAATCCAATCCATTTGCCTTCACGTCACATCTGCAGAATCATTCAAATTGTCTGCGGCCGGTGGAACACAAAACCCTTCTTTTTGCCCTTCTTGGAAAATGGTAATAAGGTTGGGAGATTGATGGAAGGCGGCGATGCTATTCTCTGTATCATTTCAAAAAGAAAAAAAAAAACCCAGAAAACAACAGTGGCTTTCATCATTTCGCAACTGTCAGTCTGATGGGTTGACCATGTGTGCGCTATCCGTCCATCCGTCACGCCTCCGTCTCGCCGCTTCTGAAGTCCACTTGCACGTAAAACTAACACACGCTAAATCATCGCGACGCGTCGCAAGGGAATCCACTTTGGACTCTTTTTTTTTGGCACCTTCTCCACCCACCCCGCTCAGCGTCACAGCTTATCGTCTAAAAACGTAACTTCAAATCATGTAAACATTTTCACTTTTCTCGCCTCCAAATGTTACAACATATTCTTGAAAAAGAAACTATTTTCAGAGGTTTTAAGACTATTGGCAAACAATTTGTCGCGTCGCAAGTAAAACTGTTTGCGACCGTTAAAAAAAGAAACATCCGGTGTGACCGTTTGCGATCTTGAACGAACCAAAAGTTACAACTTCAACATCATAACAAACATTTTCCTCATAACACGACAATGTTACTCTCTTTAATGACTATTATTCTTTTGTGTAGGATTGAAAGTTTCCATAATTGTGAAGTAACGGCGGTGGTATTAAGAGGTGGATGAAGTCCCCGCTGAATGCCGAGAAACTAAACGTACTGCCGCCGACTGCTGAAATCCACCGGCACGTAGCTAGCTTGCCATACGTCTCTCTGGTAAAGGCATTAGCTTACGACATGGCAGGAAGTGGCGAGTCCGTTCGGTCCGTAAAGGTAAAAACTGCTGAGCGGGCGCAACGTCCGCGCCTTCCCGCTCCTACAAAGCCGGCGTGGCATCTCCGATATCCTCACTTTAGCATATGTGGCTTTCGTCCTTCCTGCTGAAAGACAAACTGTTACGTGGCGCTAGCTTGTTATTCGCTGTCATGAAAGGACCTGCTCCCACAGAGAAGAATGCGAAAGCGATTACTAAACGAAGCCCACGAATGGAGCTGGACCGACCTGTTTGAAGGTTTCATATCCTTGAGGCCGACATACGACTGTGAATCCATGCCGATTGGCAAACTAACCGCTAGCCCCGCTTAAACTATTTGCCAAAAGTTGTTGACAACTTCGAATTTTAGGCATTTTAAAGTAACAGGGCAAGTGATGGTGAGCCCACTGGAGTTGTGGAGGTGGGCGGGCCCAACACAGACGTCCTGCAATACCACAAAATAAATAAATGTACTTTGGCCGCGCCGATCACCTGCTTGACTTTCAGCAAGTGACTCCGTTATGCTTCTTTCATGTAGACCACGTGCCCTCTCCCGCACTGAATTTAATGGAAATGGGTGGTTCAATTGGCCGCGAATCAAATCAGCTGTGTTCACTCCCAAAATGGCGCAAACGCCTATTTCTAACTGCGCCCGACAATGAAAATACCAAAACAAACTCCTCGGCAGGCCCAACAATCTTTCCATCCAGAAATTGCGCAACGTGACCTTTCGAGTCCAGTTTATTTGAAAGCTGCAAAAGTGCTCCGATGTACATTTGTGAAGCACGTGCAATAGCTGAAACCTCTTGAAAAAGTGCTTCCTGTGAAACACGTCAGCCTGGGAATGTATGGGGGGAACGCGTGGAGAATGAAAACCAGGTGCTTGCTCACTCACCATGTAGTTGTTGTTGTTGTTGTTGCATGGTCACCCAGAGGCAAAGACCCCATACATGAAATGTCTCTAATGGCCGACAGACGTGTTCGGGCTTTGACCACAAAAGGTTGACACCCAAACTTTCCTGGACCTCCACTTTGACATGTTCACTGGGAAAAGGCTTTTCGGGGAAGCAATAAAAGGGTCCGATCCTCGTCTCTTGAGAGTACAAGCTGTTTTAATGGTGACCTTTTAGCATATTGTAACAATATACTTTGTTTGTCGAAATAAGGTGAACTTATTCCTGTAATAGAATACTGCATTTGCGGAATATTATGGAGTTTTCCCTGTGATAGTAGTTCTTTTTTTCTCAGAATAAAAAGGAATTATTTGTATAAAATAAAAAAAAAAAATTTGGTAATATTCTAGATTCACACCAGTTTTCAAAACTACATTTTTGGTCATAATATTACAACATTATTTCCTCCATATTTTTTTTCCCACATAAGATTACGGTAGTATTCCTGGAAACAAACTTTAAGTCAGAATATTGTGGCAATATTTTTGTAATAAAAAAAAATATATATGCCCATTGTACCTCATTCATCTCCAGCTGTGTGTGTCCGCCCTGCTCTATTAACGCCTCGCCCTGCTTTATTTTCATATATATATATATATTTTTTTTTTTTAATTGTCATCTGACAGCATTATTCCTGGAATACTACCACTTTAAAAAAAACCTCACAAAACTATGGCATTAGTTTCGCAATAATCCAACCTTTTCTTGCAATACTCCAACTGTGATGTTGTAATCGCAACATCACATCTTACTTCTCAAAGTCTTACTGGAAGTGAATCGTTTTAATTTCTTTGAGAAATGTGACTTGATTCTCCCAGGGAAGGTTTCTTGGGGTTTACGGGGAAGCAATAAAAGGCCCAATCCTTGTCTTGTCTGAGACAGAAGAAGCTTGTTAAAAAAAAGAAAAAGGAGGAGGCCTGAAGTGAGGGAAGGAATGACGAAGGCAGACGGCAATCACAACAGAGGAGACATTTGAAAAAACAATTAAGAAATGCAGAGAAAATGCCCTGAGGCACTCCTAGTTCACCGTACGTGCATGACATTGCGTTGTTTTAGTCAGGATTATACCAAAATATATTTTCGCCTCCTGAATTGGTGTCTCAACATACAAGTTACTCTGGTTTTCCAGATTTTTTTTTTGTTCTCACGTACGAGAAAAAATGTTTTGTGACCGTGAACTCAACTCACTTCACAGCAAGTTAGCATTTATCTTTGTACGAACAAACATTGCGAAATGACACAGACGGGCAAAACGAATAGCATCGGTGATGCAAACACAAATTGTGATGCAGCACATGTAGACCGACAATATAACAATACTTCTTGGCAGCTGTTCTTTATCATTTGTAAAAATTGATTAAGACCACTGCCGACTACCCAGTTAGGTGTGAAACTCTTCTTTGAATGTGATCCCTATCTCTGTATTCTAATGCCCCCAGGTGGCCAAGGTTCCCACACCAGAAGGAGCGGCACAATGTCCATAGCAAAAAAAATGTGACAAGCACAAATCATAACATAATATTTCTGAACATTATAATAAATGATGTCCTCACTGCATGTTTGTATCAACTATGATACTCCACAGTGCTATTTTCTTTAAAAAAAAAATACACATTGAAACAATTTATACTTTTGGGGGGGGGGGGCCTGAACAGATGTTTGGTATTTCAATAAGGAAATGATTTGAGATTAGGTTTCCCATTCGTGTTAGTTCCCATGGAGAGTTTCCAATTCTAAATTTTTCAACCCCAAGTAGCAATTATGACAGGAACTGAATGAAAGAGCCAACATGCACTCTGAGGGTTTGTAGGAGTGATGTTTAATGGGATCATGATTGTCTTTGGGGGAGGTTAAACATTTAATTGGATTAGGGGACAAAAAAAGTACAAGCGCTCCTACATTGACTCCCAAAAACTACATACTGCTTTAAATACACGACAGGGGGAGGAGAAAAAAAATAGATTTTAGCTGTCACTACTTGTGACAAATGACAGATTTGTTTTTTCATCCCCAAGGTTGTCCGAAGGGCTGGCATATATTATACAGACATGGTGTCTTCTTTTTTTTGTGTGTGTGTGAGTGTTCTCTTTTTTCCTTTTTCCCCTTGTATCATCTGGTGTTCTCGCTGATTAGTCTTTAGAGGCTAAAGTGACCTCAGCATGACTCATTTTGCCAGCCTCCCCCGCACCCACCACCCCAACACCAAGCCCCCTTAAGGGCCCTAACAACATGGCTACACACACACACACACACACACACACACACACACACACACACACACACACACACACAAATAAACACAAAAGCAAACAGGCAAGGTACTATGGTTGTGACCTTACTGGGGAAGCAGCTAGGTTAGCTTGGAGCTAATGTCACAGCGAGCTAGTTGTGGAAGTGGCCAAACGTTTTCCAATGTAAATTCTAAAAGAGAAAAAAAAAAAAGGAATGAGAGAAGAGCGAGGAAAAGACAAAACGATTCTTAATATTACTGCCATAGAAGTTTTCTCGATTGAAATGAATTCAAATGTCAATCCGGCCACGCCGACAAGAAATGCAACCGCCTCGTAGCATCGGACGCTAAGGAAGTTGTGTCATGTTCGTACCCGATGCCCAGCGTGAGGAGATGCGAGGCCAGCAGCGAGGGGACGAGGACGAGGAGCACGTCGGACGAGAAGATCCCTCTCTTCTTCATCACCTCCGTCTTACGAATGCTGAGCGAACTCGATTGCTTTGGGTGCTGGAACACGAACTCCCTACACGATACCACCAAAATATAATTTTAAACGAAGCACCTAACAAAAATGAATCAACTCAAACAAAAACAACTAGTTATAAATAAAATAAAAATAGTGTAAAATTATTACAACATTTAAATCAAATGCAAAACTGAACACAAAATGAAAAAAACAACAACGCATTTTTAAAATCAAAAAGGTTTGTCATACTGTATTTTGTTTGTGTGTTTCTGTGACAAAAATGAATCCAAGTAAATAAAATGAAATAACAACAAATAAAATCTAGAGAAATAGATTATTACTTCCCAAATATTTTGGATTTTGTTTTGAAGTGTTCTCTTACTTAGGTGGCATGTTTTCAGGCCTGCTGGACCAGTCCCACACCCAATCAGTGTCCATTCTCCTGTCATTCTCTTCCTGTTCACATCATCACAAAGGGATCAGATGAGCAGTCCATCCATCCATCCATCCATCCATCCATCCATCCATCCATCCATCCATCCATCCATCCATCCATCCAGCTAATGTCTATATCCCACTGAGCCGCGAAGGTTTGTGAACGTAGCGAATATTGATATGTTTCGTCAGGGTTTGTATATAAAGGTCGCAAAGAGGAAAAATCAATATTCACTTCATTTGCAAACACTTGCAAACCTTCACCGCTCAGTGGAAAACGGGCTTGACAATATTTATCTAGCTAGCTAAAGTATCTAGTGAGCTACATACACTACAGCTGCATCCAAATTCACAAGGTTGGGTGTTCCAAAGGCCGCGTTTTTGACCGCATGACGTCACATCATGTGACGTGATGCGACCGGAAACGTGGCCTTTGGTGGACCCAACCCGTGAATTTGGATACAATGTATATCTACAACAGCTAGCTAGCTAGCTAGCTAAAAAGAGAAAGTCCATTCAACATCAACATTTTCAAATACGGTACTGTGATTTGCACCTGTATGGTGATGCAGTCACTGTCTGGATCACTAGGAGGTCTGGGGGAGCCAGTCGACTGTGGGGTCCCGACCTGCGGGGGACTGCAGTCAATGAGCAGACATTATTGTTCAGAATTTAGCCAATATAGACAACTAAGAATCCATTTTCCGTCGTGCTTGTGCCTCATAAGTGTCATGGGCACTGTGGAGACCGACCCAAACTTTGACTGTCTTGTGCTCACCCGCGCTTTGTTACTTTCCGTTTACCTCGTTTCTCATTACGTCTCGTCGCCAGTTCATGGCACCTTGTCGTCACTTTCTAGCGTTTGTTATTCACTGTGAGCTTTCAACCCGTTTGACTTTTGACCTCCACTTTTTGTCTCACATTTTTGGCTACCGCTGCCTATGCTAGCTAACCAGCTACTGTACTGAAAAGTGTTATTTATTTATTTTTTTAATTGTTTTTGGCCTTCGAGTCAATTAACCAACACAAAAACTGAAGTAAATAATACATGTTGAAACAACCACAAAACATACAACCTATCAGCTTTTAGAAAAGGAGTTACTGTATATGTTTACATTCAACCATCAGCTGCTGGAGCCAACGCAAATGATGTCATGCACATTGTGATCGGGAGATTACAAATATCAACATCCCGGTGAGGAACAAAAGGGGATAAAACTCTAAACCGCCTCTCCTCTCAGCAATCGGACCACAAACTTGATACGCTTTGTGACCACCAACAGGTCACCGGTGGAGCAGCAGGCGGACTTTGAAACAAAGGCCTAAAGACACCGAGAAGGCACTGCTAAGAGAATTTCAAGGTCACCAGCTGGTTTTGATGGCAACGTCGGTGGTTGTACCTCATGGACATTTCTACTCAAACTATCGAGAGCGGGCTGGATGTTTGACGACGTGCTTTGTGACGCGGGGCCGATGTTGCTACCTGTCTCGGTTCCTCTCGCACTCCAGCTGCGCCTCCAGCAGGATCCTCTCCAGCTCCCCCTGCAGGGCGGACGAGATGCTGTCCTCCGGCCCCGTCAGACTCTCCCTGCGGCTCACGGTGGCGATCAACTCCTCCAGTTCCACCCAGGAGCCTGCACGGGGAAAATAAAATAAACACAAGTCACCACATACTAATATAAAAATGCTGGGAAAATTTCAACATTTCCAATTTCTAAATTCTTGAAAAGTTATGAATTAATTTTTGTGAAAAAAATATTCTGAAATTATTTTTTTGGACTTTATTACAAAATTCAAAATGTTTTGCACATAAGAAGCTTTTTGTCATGGAAAAAAAAAACATGTTGCACTCACAATACTTCACTTACATCCGCTTATAAATACTTTGAAAAACGTCGACCTTCAACTGAAATTCACATTTCTTCCTCTTTTTCTGACTGTGGCGTTAACGTCGCTCGGCCGCTTCGCAGATGCTTTTGAATGCATGCCGAGCCATTGAGAGCCATCAATGAAAATCAAATGAACACACGCAGCCATGAAAGGACTCAATGGACACAAAAGGTTCATGGGGGTCACACACACACACACACACACACACACACACACACACACGTATAGAGACACGCAACACACACACATGGACGGTGGTGTTGGCGCCCGACTCAACAGTAAGCAGGCCTGACAGCATGCTCGCTTACGTAAGATCTTATTTCTGTTGGGAGATTAGCCATTCACCCTCTTATGTCCGCCCTCTTGTTTGTGCACAACATTTCCAGCCAATCGCAACCTTCCTCCACTTACGTGATGTCGTGTTTGTGTGTGTATGTTCTGTGTGTGTGTGTGTGTGTGTGTGTGTGTGTGTGTGTGTGTGTGTGTGTGAGTGTCATGACTGCGCGCATTGAGGGGAGGGAAGAGGAATCTGTGCCATTGCCCTAGTTTGGCTTTTTTTTTTTTTGGGTCCCGACAGAGGAGATTTATGACATAACTGCTTTGCTGATCTATCTGCAATGATTCTTGTGCTGCATTGCTGCGTTGTTGTGGGACATCAAAGACCTTATGCAACTCAATCAACACCATTTAAAAAAAAAAAGTCTTTAGCTAATAATAAGATGGCAAATATAGACAACAACAAACAAACCGCCACGCAAGGCTCATCAAGAGAAAGTTAGCAACCTCGCCAAAATAGCACACTAGGTCCTAGTGTGTTATTTCGGCTCACTTCTGTCTTGAGCTGCTTGGGAGTTACACCTTCCCTCGGAGGGCCGTCGAAACCGCAGACATTTTTAATCGTCTCGTCGCATGATTATTTGTACACAACAAATGATTGGATAATAATTGGTCCAATTATAGTGTGAGTGTAAACAGGATCACAAAATGATTGCAAAATCTCATTTATTTATGACACATGACAATTTGACATTTCGGTGCACATTTTAGCACGGAATCATGTAAGTTGACACACATGATTTGCTTTTGAGGGGACACATAAAATGACGTGGCGGGCCAGATCTGGCCCCCGGGCCTTGAGTTTGACACCTGTGGACTGGGATGTACTTGTGGAATTCACATGACATACTGGCCAATTGGAATGGCCAGGGCTGGACTGTCCCCACCCCCCCAATAGATAAATAAATAAATACATTAATAGCCTGATTTTGTTCAAACAACTGCGATTGGTGTTGGCCCGCGAGGTTGGGGCGCTCGCCTGCAAGCGAGCTATAAGCGTCGAGAAATCCGCGCCTCTTAATTGGCTTACTGAGATACACGCAGGTGAGTCAGCGAATCTGTTTAGACGACAACGGCGTCGGTGGTGGCAACAATAACAGTGGAGTTGTGACATTATCTTGAGGTCATTATAAATGAAAAAAATGATATTGAGAGTAAGGCTGAATTGACTCATTTCAAGAAGTGAACATTAAAATACATTTAAGAAAATATGAGCTGGTTTGAAGTCAAATCGATTGTTGGGGGCAAATTTTAAAAGGATGCACACGGAGACGGTGTCGGTGGTGTGGCATCGAGAACCAGTGGAAATTTGTTCCCGTGCCTAAGTATATTTTTCAAAAAATCTGTACTGTACTTATTTATTTTTTCGGATGACAATGAATTTTCACTCTGTACATTTGAAAATTGACATTTACTTTTTGCTTCCTGACTTCAGCTCAGAAGTTGAAGCATTGGTGCATCTTTGTCGCATTTAAAAACATTCCCCCCCCCCAAAATCCACGACTCTACTCTCACCCTTTTACCAATTTCCTCTTGTAATTTCACAATGTTATATTTACATTTTATTGCCATGAAATGACATGAAAGGTTTCTATTTGTTTTTATTCCTGCAAAAAAAAATCTTATATTGTTATCACCCAAATGTTTTTCCACAAAATGTTCATTCATTAAAAAAAAACAAAAAACTTTAGTCTACTAAATTAGGATAATTTTGGTGATAAGACAAAACTCAAGTTGCAATCATTTCAGAAATGTCGATTTTTCTAACTTTACAGCAATGTGTCATTTTATGAGGAAAGGTCACCACCAAAATTTCCACTTCATAATTTTACAATGACTCTTATTTATCCATCCTGTCTGCTGTATTCAAAGACGATAATGTGAAAGAGCACGTAAGCAGTGGTGAGGGAAAGCATCACTCACCGTAGAGACTGTCCTCTGGTGTCTGCTGGCCGGACATGTTTGGGTCTTGCTGGGACAGCGGGGGGGCCTTCCTGGAGGAGGGCTTGCAAGCGACGGCGAGGAACGACTGATTCCCGCGGGGCAGCTTTGCGCCTGGTGGAAGCCTAAAAATACCAAAAAAAAAAAAAAAAAAAAGGCTGGACTAATCCACGCTGGCGTTTGTGGCTCTCTCCTCCCCCACCCCCTCCTTTCCCTCTGGCCACGTGTCAGCCAAGGCGGATGTAAACAAAAACAAGCTAACCAAACTGGCTGCCCCCCCTCCCAAAAAAGTACATCCAAATTCTTTTCAGGTTAAATGAAGCATCCCATTCAAATTTGAATTGAGGAATGAGCACAAGATGTACACCGGCAAAATCCGCCGCTCATCAGTTATATAATTTATTTGGAGACAGATCAATGTTAGAGAGTTAGATAAGCCCCTTGCTTTATTTACATTCCAAATTGGAACCAGGAAAGGGTATTTTAGATTCTTTTTGCACAAGATTCTAAAAACCACAATATCAGGGTTCATCATTTGAGGACATCATTCTTTTTTTTTTTTTTTTGCAAATGAGATGAAAACAAATCAACAGCGCCTCTCCTGGTTGCAATCAAGTAGTGCACTCTATTTTCCATCCATTGCTTCAAGACGTGATTAATGAAACACCTCTGCACAATCGACAGGATTTTTACCGTTCCATATTGATCAACGGCCCACGCATCAATCAGCATGGCCCGCAATATTTTTCTTTCTTCAAAATAAGCCCCTTGGACGGTACTTTCTACTCACGCCAACAAGGTGATTGCCAGCCAAAGTTGCATTTGCCCCCGGTGACATCATCAGGGAACAGCTCCCCCGCCTGCCATCCACGAATTGCTCTTTCACATTAGCATCTGATTGCATTTCATCATTTGGGGATTCATCATTTGATCTCGATTTTCTTTCACAGTTCCATTTTGAGTCTCTCTAGTCAGCGGCGTATTGAATTAAATGACTTTGTTTGTATCTGCGCACATTTCCCCCCCAGCAATAAAGCCCATTCTGATGATTGTGAGTCTTTGTAACGATACGCATTATATTCCTAATGGATTGCCATTTAGGCAATGGAGCACTTCTGCCCACTTTTGTTTTTTCTTCGCATCTCAAATTCCCTCAATTGATTATTACCAAAAAATGAGGCGCATGTGAAGTGTAAATGCGGAACGCCCGAGAGAAATGAAAACACAATCTACACAGGAATGTTAATGTCGTTCCGGTGGTAGAGGAGGTGTGGGGAGGGGGAGGAACAAGTGATGGTAGCTGATAAAAAAAAAGGGGAATACGATGTCTCACTTCTGGAGGCGTTTAGGGGAAGATGTTATCCGTCTATGTTAGCGTTGTCGCCGCACTCCTCGGGTGACGACGTGATGATGAAGAGGTCGACTGAACGCAACCAGGAAAGAAAATCAGAGGAAATCAGCTTGTCGTCAGAACTTCGGAAAAGAAAATTCGGCTTCCCTGTCTAGTGGAACTAAAACTTCAACATCCAGAAACGGTATTTCGTTCTTTTCTTGTGGCAACGTCAAAACGGCCAAATTTGGGAAAAAAATAAAAAATTGCAATTTGATTATTTTCCAAAATCTCTTCAAAAGGAAAGACAAATGCCATTGATTGCACATCATCAATTCTCGTCTTCATTGCTGCCATCATCCTCAAGATCCCGTCGACACACTTGATTGCGCCGAATATTGGCAAAGGGCTCCTCGTAGAATCTGGAGACCTGATCATTAACGCCGATTTCTCTCTTGAACTGTTTCACGCAATCAACTGGAGGCAAAACAGATGAAGCCTCACCATACTTGACCCTTGCTTTCAAGCACAATCAAAGCTAATTTTGTTTTTTTTTTTCGAAACGGCGAGTTCACCTGAAACCACTGGCGGAAGGAAGCCGTGTTTGAGAACGTACGTGATAACGTAAAATGCGTATCGGAATGTGATTGGCTTCAAAGGAGATGGTGCTCGCTGCAGTAAAATGTGTATGGAACTTGCCGGTTTCTGAAATCAAGCCTTTATTTTGAAAGCATTTTTTTACAAAGGAATGAGAGCGACTTAAACGTTCACTTTTGATCCGTTGCTGGAATCCAAATCGGTTTTCGGACATTTAAAAAAAAAACAACAAACAAGCACCGAAGACTTATTTGAATGGTCGTAGCACAAACTGGCCAGGCCGAGTCACTTCAGACAAGCAAATTTAGTTGACCCCCCCCACACCTCATCAAAACTTGGTTCACGTTGACACTGCATTTTTTTCATTCCATATCCGGACATCAAAACAACTGATATGAGAGCTGAAGCAATGAAGTGATGATTTCATGCGGCGGGTTACTGAGTGCCCCCCCAACCCCCCCGCATGTCTCTATTATCCTGCCGGTCACGCTTCCCTGGCACTGCTCCCGCTCATATGGGAGATATCTGTAAAATAATCCCACCTGTCTGTTCCCATCTGTGTTCCCCCTCTACCCTCGCATTATGCCCTGTCCAATATGGAATGAAAGTGATGTAACTAAAAATGGGGGGGGACATGATTTCATTGAAAAGAATGAACTACATGAAAAATTACATTTTTTTGTATTCAAGGAAAGTTTAATTTAACCATAGTTAAAAAACTAAAAAAAATTATATAAAAATACATAAAAATGTAA